GGCTAGTTTCTTACGCAGTTTGTGATTAGCCCGATTTAAACTAAGTGTTGACAGGCCAAACATGACTCATAGCTCGTGCATGATAGTGTGAAACGTGACCCTAGAACCCAGAGGGCAGTAGTGCAGTACCGCCTTATATGACTTAAACCGGGATGTGCCGCTGGACAAGGCACAGGCAAACCACCCTCTGGTAGTGGGGCGGTTGTTGATTGAAATCCGAGCATCGATAATTTGTTCTTTTTCCAACTCACAGTCAGTTTGAACGTCCAAATCGATCGCACTGTAAAACACGCCTGCATGTTTTGCAGGCTAGAAGAAATACAAGCAAACGAAGAATACGGTGGCTATAATTCGTTCCAAAATGCAGATTTTAACGCAAATGTTTTAATATAAGTTTGAAGAAAATGTTAACTGAGTCATGTGATGTCATGTTTATTTCGCCATCCCGTGCTGTTTTAAACGCTATTTTGCGAGATGAATATTTGAAATAGTGCTCATTTAATTAATTCATTCCCTGAAAACTATAAAAATAGACTTTACTCACGATATGCCCGCCATTCTTGCGCGCGCTTAAGGAATGATGGGACAAAAGGGATGTCACGTGGCTTCTCAGAAGGGAAACAAGTGATAAATTTTTCCGATACAAGAATTCGCGGTCGAGTTTGTTTATTCTTGACAACATAAAATGAACAACTTTTTATATCAAAGACGATAATGACTAGTTATGGGTGGAAGTGATCATTGTTACTTTTTTTTAATTCAGCAGCGATCGTACATGTATGTCCTCACAGCAAGCAATAATGAAGTTAATTTTGTCTAAACTCAAACCGTACTTTTTGCATGACTATTAAAAAAAATCATCGTTTCATTTTGAGAGAATAAACAAAGTCGAACGCGATTTCTCGCATTGGTAAATTTTATCTTTTGTTATCCCGCTGAAATACCACGTGACATTGCTTTTATCCTATCATTACTAAAATGCGAGCAAAGATGGCGGGTATCGTGAAAAGAAGAAAATCAGCACACGGGCGCCTTCTTGGGTAACCGAGCTAGCCAGTTATGCGCATGCGCTGGGTCCTGTGGGAACGTTCCAGCTTCCAGCTCGTCACTTTCTGTGTTTGAAAGGAAGCACCAACAAAGAGTTATTGGTTGTTTACCATTTACGAACATTTTCAGGAAAATCCGGTTGGAAAGTAAATGAAACACGACTTTTTGCGTCGTTCCAGCGCAAAATTTACGGGAGCAACGGAACACCTGAAAAGGTAGTACTGTTTTTCCGGACGGAATACCAATCGGAAATTCGTGTTCCATTTCTTCAAAGTCATCTTTGACACCGGTTTCAGGCCTTCGCCGTCGTTTTTCGGTAAATGGAACTGATTTGTATTGGATTTGTATTCATCTTAAAAGAATGCGGTACCGCTTCGCGTTTTATTCACAACCATTTCGTTGGATGACAGGTGATATTTCTTGAATTTGCTCAAATAGTGTTTTTTTTTCCTGTCTCTGTCGTTGTCTTTTCTCTTTCACTTTGCCTTCACTGTGCGTGTAGGTGGTAAGGTAGGTTTTACAATCCATTTGACCTTTTTGACTCAATTAGTAGTAAGTACAATACTGTGTTTTCGTTCTCTAAGCAGAAGGTGGTAGGTTTCATGCATGCATGGCTTATTAAAGACAAAGGTTAATAGCTGCCGTTCCTACTTCAATTTCGCATCTTTTATAGCGCCAGCTTTTTTCTCTGTGGGTGTGCGCCAAAGGCAATTTTTTAAAACATCTCAGCAGGCCGGCTACGAAGAAAAGTCTGTCATAAAACGCGGTCAAGACGATTATATTGTATTTCCATCATATGGTGATTATAAAAAATTATTTTTAGTATAAATGTTCTGCCTGTCTGCTCTTTTTGAATGAATTAAAATGCGGTTTTGTTTGAAAACTGGCTTAACACCGTTTTAATTATTCAGTGCTTTTCAGTGCGTTCTAGAACAAGAACGAAACCATCGTTACGAAATAATAATGAACAATTAAGGCTTTCTTACTTCCGCCATTGTGGATATAATTTGTGAACACGGTTTTGATACTCCTTCATAACTAAGGTTGTTTGTATAATCTGGGCTATGACCTGCCTTTTTGTTGAATAGTCGAGTTTTTCTCTCCTACTGTTGCAGTGTCTGTTTAGATGATCAAGTCCTGTGACCCTTTTTACCAAAAAACAGGAAGTGGATGGCGATAGTTGTCCGTCTTAGAGAGATGTCGGCCTTTTAGAGAGTCAACTAAAAGGAGCTAAACTAAAGAAAGGCAGGGGAGAACCAGTTTAACTATAGAGAGTTGTACTCCAGATGCTTCTACTTCCACGCTTCACGGGAATGAACATATTGACTTCGGGGGTAGTTTTTCAGCCGCCACTAATTTCCAGTTCGAATATTCGTGTCTTCTATTTTCTTCTATCTAGAATACATGCATGTGCATAACCACTCTCATTAAGTTTGTCCAAATATGACGAGCAGCTTCGACAGAAATTAAGACTGAAAATTCACCTTCATTAATGATTAGCGTCAACAAGTGAAACAAAAAACTTACTCTTTAATCGCATCCTCAAAAGTCATTGTTTTTACAATTACAGTTTCTCGATCAGAGCTTTGAGGATGGGTATGTACGTATTTATCTGATCTTTCTTGGCTTCAACTACTTTGGAAAAGAGCTCTACCTTTCCCTTTAGATCATCGAGTGGGCATCCCGTGTAAAGAGACAAAATTCCTGTTGTATGAAAATCTTGAACATCCATGAAATAATGATTTATCGCTGGAGGTGGGTTTTTAGATGGAGACGTCGTTGGAGGACGGGGCACAAAGAACTCACTGTGAAGCTGGTAAGGCGTAGCAAGAACATTGAAGCTGCTAGTCGCCATGTCATCAAATGCTGAAGCTGAGCGAAGTTTATACGTTGTAACTCTGTTGTTGATCAGAAGGTGTATCTTTGGTCGCCTGATGTCATATTCTTGGGCTTTGTGACTAAACATTCTCTTTTTACATTCTTGGAATTGGGTTGGTATGTTGTACAGGTCGATTCCGTACACTAAATCAAGCATGGCTATGATGGCTTCTCTTGAAAAATCATCTGCGTTTATTGGAATAATCAACTTCTCTGCGGCAACGAGGGCCATTTCCGTATAGATAGAAAACGATGGGTTGGTGTCGATGAAAACTACCCATTCTTCCTCATTTAGTGTTATCCCTTGCATATTTTCGTAACCTTCCAAGAAATATCGTACGCAAGATGTGATAAAGACCCAGGGATTGTGATTTAGAACAGGATCTCCCTTCTCTTGTGGTCCATATTCCGGCCAATTAATTCAAGTTGCATGTCGCCACACAACAGTTCAATATTCGGTGGCATTCGGCTGTTCAAATTGCTCACATTGGTGAGGAACGCCCGCGGATCTGTAGTTGTCTGTGGAGTACTAAATGTTTGGAGGTAAAAGCTGATAGTTTTCTCTTGTGTAAAACATTCAGTCAGACTACTGCTTGTTCCTGTAAGTTTCTTGTCTTGAGGCGTCAGCAAAGACATCGACACGTTTGCTTGTGGACAAAGATCTAGAACTAAAACTTTCTGATTAGGAAAGTGTTTTGCGTACTGTGTGGCCATGTGGAAAGTTAGTGTCGTCTTTCCAACACCTCCTTTGTTATTCCAAATCACGTAAGAGTTTAGAAGTGGCATCTCTACCTCTTCGAAAGTCACACTTCAAGTAAAGTAGGACTGAAGTCGCCTAACAAACACGCAAACACTTCTAGCCTGCGTCACAGATATCTATAAGCCTCGTGTTCTGCGAATCCCGCAAAGTCACAAGGACATATGTCGGCGTTTTTGATTGGCTAGTTTCTTACGCAGTTTGTGATTAGTCCGATTTAAACTAAGTGTTGACAGGCCAAACATGGCTCATAGCTCGTGCATGATAGTGTGAAACGTGACCCTAGAGCCCAGAGGGCAGTAGTGCAGTACCGCCTTATATGACTTAAACCGGGATGTGCCGCTGGACAAGGCACAGGCAAACCACCCTCTGGTAGTGGGGCGGTTGTTGATTGAAATCCGAGCATCGATAATTTGTTCTTTTTCCAACTCACAGTCAGTTTGAACGTCCAAATCGATCGCACTGTAAAACACGCCTGCATGTTTTGCAGGCTAGAAGAAATACAAGCAAACGAAGAATACGGTGGCTATAATTCGTTCCAAAATGCAGATTTTAACGCAAATGTTTTAATATAAGTTTGAAGAAAATGTTAACTGAGTCATGTGATGTCATGTTTATTTCACCATACCGTGTTGTTTTAAGCGCCATTTTGCGAGATGAATATTTGAAATAGTGCTCATTTAATTAATTCATTCCCTGAAAACTATAAAAATAGACTTTATTCACGATATGCCCGCCATTCTTGCGCGCGCTTAAGGAATGATGGGATAAAAGCGATGTCACGTGGCTTCTCAGGGAGGAAACAAGTGATAAATTTTTCCGATACAAGAATTCGCGGTCAAGCTTTTTTATTCTTGACAACATAAAATGAACAACTTTTTATATCAAAGACGATAATGACTAGTTATGGGTGAAAGTGATCATTGTTACTTTTTTAATTCAGCAGCGGTTGTACATGTATGTCCTCACAGCAAGCAATAATGACGTTAATTTTGTTAAAAAAACGACCCAGCTTCCAGCTAGTCACTTCCTGTGTTTGAAAGTACCAACAAAGAGTTATTGGTTGTCTCCTCAGTAAAATTTTCCGGAAAATCTGGTTAGAAAGTAAATGAAACACGACTTTTTGCGTCGTTCCAGCGGAAAATTTCCCGGAGCAACGGAACTCAATAGCGGTTTCAGGCCTTCGCGGTCGTTTTTCGGTAAATGGAACTGATTTGTATTGGATTTGTATTCATCTTAAAAGAATGCGATACCGCTTCGCATTTTATTCACAACAATTTCGTTGGATGACAGGTGATATTTCTTGAATTTGCTCAAATAGCGTTGTGGTCTAGGTAGGTTCTACAATCCATTTGACTTTTTTAACTCAATAAGGAGTGAGTACAATACTGTGTTTACGTTCTCTAAGAAGGTGGTCGGTTTTGCATGGCTTACTACAGACAGAGGTTAATAGCTGCCGTTCCTACTACAATTTCGCTTTTTTTATAGGGTCAGCTTTTTTCTCCGTAGGTGTGGGCTAAGGTAATTTTTGAAAAATCTCAACGGGCCATCTACGAAGAAAAGTCTGTCATAAAACGCGGTCGAGACAATTATATTGGATTTCTATCGTGTGGTGATTATAAAAAATTCATTTTTAGTATAAATGTTCTGCTTGTCTGCTCTTTTTGAATGAATTAAAATGCAGTTTTGTTTTAAAACTGGCTTAACACCGTTTTAATTAATTAATTCAGTGCTTTTCAGTGCGCTCTAGAACAAGAACGAAACCATCATTACGAAATAATAATGAACAATCAAGGCATTCTGATGAATACTTTTTGCAATTCCGCCAGTGTGGATATAATTTGTGAACACGGTTTTGATACTCCTTCATAACTAAGGTTGTTTTTAATATCTGGGCTATGACTAGCCTGGGTCGCAGACTCTCTAAACCTTCTGTATAGAGCTACAAATGGTTTAGACAAGTGCGTGGGCCGACTGCAACGCAGGCTAGGCTATGACCTGCCTTTTTGGTGAATGGTCGAGTTTTTCTCTCCTAGTGTCTGTTTAGATGATCAAGTTTTGTGACCCTTTTTACCAAAAAATAGGAAGTGGATAGCGATAGCTGTCCATCTTAGAGAGATGTTCGTTTTTTAGAGAGTCAACTAAAAGGAGCTAAAGTAAAGAAAGGCAGGGGAGAACCAGTTTAACTATTGAGAGTTGACCGTCTTAGATAGTTTTCTGTTGTGCTTTAGGTTCTACTCCAGATGCTTCTACTTCCACGTTTCACGGGAATGAATATGTTCGGAGGTAGTATTTCAGCCGCCACTAAATTTCCAGTTCAAAATTAATTCGAGTCTTCTATTTTCTTCTATCTGGAATACATGCAATTTGCGTAACCATTCTCATCAAGTTTGTCCAAATACGACGAGCATCTTTGACACAAATTGACAAAATTCACCTTAATTAATGATTAGCGTCAACAAATTAAACAAAAAACGTTCCTTTTCAATCGCATCCACAAAATCATTGTTTTTACAATTACAGTATCTCGATCAGAGTTCTGAGGATGGGTATGTATGTATCTATCTGCTCTTTCTTGGCTTCAACTACTTTGGAAAAGAGCTCTACCTTTCCCTTTAGATCATCGAGTGGGCATCCCGTGTAAAGAGACAAAATTCCTGTCGTATGGAAATCTTGAACATCCATGAAATAATGATTTATCGCTGGAGGTGGGTTTTTAGATGGAGACGTCGTTGGAGGACGGGGCACAAAGGACTCACTGTGAAGCTGGTAAGCCGTAGAAAAAACATTGAAGCTGCTAGTCGCCATGTCATCAAATGCTGCAGCTGAGCGAAGATTATACGTGGTAACTCTGTTGTTTATCAGAAGGTGTATCTTTGGTCGCCGGACGCTGTATTCTTGGGATTTGTGACTAAACATTCTCTTCTTACAGTCTTGGAATTGGGTTGGTATGTTGTGCAAGTCGATTCCGTACACTAAATCAAGCATGGCTATGATGGCTATGTGCGGCAACAAGGGCCATTTCCGTATAGATAGAAAACGATGGGTTGGTGTCGATGAAAACTACCCATTCTTCCTCATTTTGTGTTATCCCTTGCATATTTTTGTAACCTTCCAAGAAATATCGTACGCAAGATGTGATAAAGACCCAGGGATTGTGATTTAGAACAGGATCTTCCCTTCTCTTGTGGTCCATATTCCAGCCGATTAATTCAAGTTGCATGTCGCCACACAACAGTTCAATATTCGGTGGCATTCGGCTGTTCAAATTGCTCACATTGGTCAGGAGCGCCCGTGGATCTGTGGTTGTCTGTGGAGTGCTAAATTTTTGGAGGTAAAAGCTGATAGTTTTCTGTTGTCTAAAACATTCAGTCAGATAACTGCATGTTCCTCTTTCCCTTTCTCGAGGGGTCAGCAAAGACATCGACACGTTTGCCTGTGGACAAAGATCTAGAACTAAAACTTTCTGATTAGGAAAGTGTTTTGCGTACTGTGTGGCCATGTGGAAAGTTAGTGTCGTCTTTCCAACACCTCCTTTGTTATTCCAATTCACGTAAGAGTTTACAAGTGGCATCTCTAACTCTTCGAAAGTCGCACTTCTAAGTAAAGTAGGGCTGAAGTCACCTAACTAACACGCAAACACTTCCAGCAGCAGACACTCTAAACCTCGTGTTCGAATCCCGCAGAGTCACAAGGACCAGCCTATGCCAGTCACCACCATTTCGGAGCCCAGCTCGGAGCCTGGAACAGGATACACATGGACACATCTAGGCGTTGTTAATTGGCTAGTGTCTTAAGCAGTTTGTGATTAGTTCGATTTAAAATAAGTGTTGACAGGCCAAACGTGACTCATAGCTCGTGATAGTGTGAAATGTGACCATAGAAGCACTTAGAGCCCGGGAGGGTACCCCCTTATTGGCCATTTCGCAATTGCGTAGGGAACTGGAGCGAGTTTCAAATTTTAAACTCATCGATAAGCTGACACCACCATATAAACTGGGTCACGTTGGGATTGGTTATTTTACCAAGTTTGATGCTCTAAGGTTGAACAGGGATCAAGTTATGACTCTTGAAACATGGTTAAAGAGGTGTACAAACGTCTGGAATTTTGCGACAGCGTCCCCCAAAACCATAATAATAATAATAATAATAATAATAATAATAATAATGATAATAATAATATTATTATTATTATTATTATTATTATTATATTTTTCAGTTTTTCTGTTAAACTGTAAAATTCGTCATGCATCTACTACTTGGAAGGAACTAATTCGAAAATCACTATGTTTGCCCATTTTCAGGAATATCACAGAAATCGCGAAAAAAAAATAAGAGCTAGTTTAAAGTGCTACTACGATCAAATTTGGGAATTTGTTTTTGATTACATATTTCGAAAATGTATGTAAAAGTGACTTACCGTGCCAAGTTTGGAGTCCAAATATGATCTGGAAGTGTGTTTATTTGCACGGCAATTTTCGTAAATGTCTTGCCGCCATTACTCGATTCAAAAAATGACCGGGAGTAGTATTTGAAGGAGTTGGGGCGAGATG